AACATTAAACACCAAAAAAATACCTAGATAAAATGAAACATTGTTGATTTTTCATACTGATGACACGTAGCATACCATCAACACTGACTGAAAATAACAACAACAACAACAAAAAAAAACGATTAAAAAGATAATTCAATACTAAACGCCTGAATGCACAAATAATTATCAAGAGATAAACATTCAGAATGCTTGGTCAGGCAAAGAAGGCGTTTTTACTTCTGATATCAGTTTATTGGTCCGTGACTGCCATGTGACTGCGTGCTAGAGATAGCATTATTGATGTCTAAGCTTCTTTGCCTTTTTTCCTTTTTTGTTATCTTTTACGTTCTCGTTATCATTAACTTTGCTTTCTCCGTATTCAGCATTATTGTTATTGTTGCTGCTATTATTGTTATTATCATTATTATAATAATTATTTTGTTTTGTTGTCGTTATTATTATCAGTATTACCATCATTATTGTTATTATTATTACTGACATTGTTGTTTTAATAATAGTAATGATAATAGCATTATTGTCATTATCACTAGTAATATATAAGCAGTGTTAAAACCACGATCAACATTATCCTCCTCCTGTATTCTTTCCTCGCCCTTGCTCATGCCCCCCCCCCCCTCGTTCCCAGGTGCTGCTGACGGGGTGCCTGTGCTTCGGCGCGGGCGTGCTGCTCTCCATCGTGTTCCTGCACCTGCTGCCGGAGACGCGCGCCACGCTCGAGTACGCGATGGAAGCCGACCTGTTCCCGCACAGCCACTACCCGGTGGCCGAGGTGGTCCTGGTGGGCGGCTTCTTCGTGGTGTACCTCATGGAGGAGCTCATCCACACGTGGATCCACCGCGCCCACCACAACCAGCACCACCGCCATGGCGACGCGGAGGCCCCGGCCGGCGACGCCAAGGCCCTCGGCGACGGCAGGAAGCGCGAGCGGCTGTCCTCCGAGTGCGCGGGCCCGGCGGCGGCTCGGGCGCAGGAGGCCGTGGGGGGGCACGGGTCGGTACGCGGCGTGGCGGTGCTCATGGCCGTGGACGGGCGCATGAACGAGGCGTTCGAGGGCGACGGGTGCGTGGGCGGCCAGGTGGAGGCGGCGGCGCGGCACAACGTGCACACCATCCCTCACCACCACACGCCCGCCGTCGACAAGAACGTGTCGGTGATGGGCGCCGTGGTGGTGGTGGTGGCGCTGTCCTTCCACAGCGTGATGGAGGGCCTTGCGCTCGGCCTGGAGGAAGAGCCGGGGGACGTGTGGATCCTGATGGCGGCGCTCACGTCCCATAAGATCTTCATTGCCTTCAGCATGTCCATGGAGCTGCTGGAGGTGGGCGTGTCCCTGAAGCCCTTCATTGCCTCCATGCTCGTCTTCTCGCTGGCCTCCCCCGTCGGCGGCCTCGTCGGGGCCCTCGTCATAGCCTACTCGGGCGATCAGGAGACCGCAAGCAGCCTGCTCGTGCCCACGTTCCTGCAGGCTGTGTCGGGGGGCACCATCCTGTACGTGGCCTTCTGCGAAGTGCTGGAGCGCGAGCGAGCCAAGCCGAAGGGCGGCATGGTGCGGCTCCTCGCTCTGCTGCTGGGCTTCTGCCTCATGGCCGGCCTGGAGGCGATCGGGGGCCACGAGCACGGCCACAAGAGCGCGCACCCGACGGACACCGTCGCCCCGTAGTCGCGCCCCGAGGCCGGCCAGCGCTGGCGCGGGAGTTGCTGTGATGACCCTCTTTGGGGATCGGAAGGGCGTCGCGCCCGGAAAGACCTGCTTGTGAGTGGCTGTCGTTGTGAGGGATTTCGGGAAAGCAGTGTGGCGGCCCGGGGGGAGCAGGATCCCGCTTTAGAAGTTAGAAGATGAGGTCGGCGAGAAAAAGCCACTTTCTCCTTTTTTTCCTTAGTGGCAGTCTGATGACAGAAGGGAGTGGCATGAGAAGCATTCTGAAGCTTTTCAAAGATCATTTTTTGCTTCATGTTAGAAGGAGATGAACAAGTAAATACACAAAAAGCAAAAAAGAGCAAATGCAAAATGTCTATAACCTGGCTTTGCTACTTATATCATTCCACGATATCTTAACTAATATGCGGCTTTTTATACTGACATGTTTATTTTTATTGCCAAGAAAAAAACAAAACAAAACTTTCTCTTGCACATGAAGATTCTGAGCAAAGGACAAAGTGATTGTGGGAACTGATTCAGTGTCACATGGGATTCATCTTTCGTATTTTCAAGAATCAAAAGGACAAACATGTTAGTATTTCGTCACAAGGGTGTGATAATGATGATGATTATAATGTAAATCATAATAACAATAATAATAATAATATTGATACTGCTATTAATAATAATAATAATAATAATAATAATAATAATAATAATGAAAATGATGATAATGATAAAAATAATAAAGATAATAATAATATTAACAATAATAAGGATGATGTCCAAGGTTTCCTCTCATTTAATAAATCATACTAAATACGGTCTCTTATTTAATAAACTTTCCAGATATTATCATGAGCTAACCTTTATTCTTTTCTTATATCCTCTGGGAAATAGACTGCTTCAAGGGAAATATATAGAACATTCAATATTTTCTTCAATATATATTTTCCATATATATTCACGCAACAAAAGTCACAACTGCAAATCAATATAAAAAAAAACGATGTATTGTAAGCACTAGTCTAGCCCGGGGTCAAGCGGCCCGAGCTCATGCGGGCCAGGATAGTGCAGACCGGGATAATACAGCCCAGGGTATGTAGTCTAAGGTATGCAGCCACGGTATACAGGTACGTTATGCAGCTGAGTAATGCGGACTGGGGTTCTTCCACAATGTGTATCGGTGTGGAGTTCGGAGCCAAGTGACTGACCATATAACGGCGACCACCGACCATGGCTTTCTTCAGATTCGAAGCAAGGGGAACGGGTCGTCCGGGTAAACCAAATGGTTCGCTAACGCACACAAGCACACACGCACTCTCACACTTCGCACACAAGACAACAAAATGCTAAGGGAAACCATCACTAAACCCTGTACAGATGATGATAATGAAAATGATGATAATGATAATGATAATGATAATAATGATGAAATAATAATAACAATAATAACAATAGTAATAATGATAATAATAAAAATGATAACACAATAATAATAACAATAATAATAATAATAATTATAATAATAATGATAATAATTATAATAATGATAATAATGGTAATAATTATCATTATTATTATAACGATTAAATCATTAATGAAAATAATAATAATAATAATAACAGAAGAGAAACAAAAAATGCATGTTACACAACACTGTCATTATCATTTCTACAGCAATCACTTGTGATAAAACTGTTTAGACTATTCTTTTAACATTTAATAAAATAAACTGAACGAAATGTAGATATTGTAAGTTATTAAACTTTAATCAAATCACACCCTTACTATGCAATAGTCCTTTCTCATTATCTTGACCGTACTGAGAAGCAGATAAACGTCTAAATATATCTATTTTATGATAAGAGGACAACGTTTTTTTATTATCCCTGGGAACTATCGCTAACGCACACAAGCACACACGCACTCTCACACTTCGCACACAAGACAACAAAATGCTAAGGGAAACCATCACTAAACCCTGTACAGATGATGATAATGAAAATGATGATAATGATAATGATAATAATGATGAAATAATAATAACAATAATAATAATAATTATAATAATGATAATAATTATAATAATGATAATAATTATAATAATGATAATAATGGTAATAATTATCATTATTATTATAACGATTAAATCATTAATGAAAATAATAATAATAATAATAATAATTATAATAATAATTATAATAATTATAATAATGATAATAATGGTAATAATTATCATTATTATTATAACGATTAAATCATTAATGAAAATAATAATAATAATATAATAATAATAATAATAATTATAATAATGATAATAATTATAATAATAATGATAATAATGGTAATAATTATCATTATTATTATAACGATTAAATCATTAATGAAAATAATAATAATATATCTATTTTATGATAAGAGGACAACGTTTTTTTATTATCCCTGGGAACTAATACATGTGACATAGCGATGTTTTCGGGTACGTAATCATGCCCTGAAAATGTTGAGTAGAGAGTTATGTATTCATACACGTAGACTCGGGTACGTACCGAATGAGGGAGAAGGTATGGCAATGCCAGCACTGATTTGGTGGAAAATGTAAGGCCTGATCTTTTTGACACTGATAATCTTTCTTAGTCCACACTTCCCGGCCTGCCAAAACACATACACACACACAGTCACAAACACATACACACACACACACACACACACACACACACACACACACACACTCTCTCTCTCTCTCTCTCTCTCTCTTTCTCTCTCTCTCTCTCTCTCTCTCTCTCTCTCTCTCTCTCTCTCTCTCTCTCTCTCTTTCACGAATACACACGTAGTGTATTAAACACAAATCCATCTTCATATTTCTATCCATCTTCATATTTTTTGTATTTATTCTGTTCATCTTTTAAATTTCATTTTTTTTTCTTATGATTCGAGTCTAAAAATACTCAATGACCATAATCAAATTCCAACTTGATAGTTATTTCAGTAAGTCACTAATTTCTCTTACTTAATGCTCATCTTATCATATTTCTTATCATCTAGTATTAATCAGTCATTGATTTTCTCACTGGTATTTACTGGTTATCAGTTTCAACTTTAATCACCCATAACTATGTATTATTATCAAAATAGAAATTCTTGAACACAATATTGATAGCTAATCTACACCAGCCCTAACTACGATTTAAGTCATAAAGTTTATTTAATCTTTCTCCTATAATATAGATCATTCGTCAAATTATAGTATCTGTGATTAATTAACTTCTCCAGTTATCTTAATCATACTTATTTTTGGTTCCCGATATCTTTCTGTAAACTTAATTAAAATGTTTAACCAAAAATCACTTATTAGTCA